ATACGAAATCCTGATAACTTTTATGGTTAACACATCTATGATAAAACGTGGTTAAAATTTTTTTTTATATATTCTTTATTGTTTATAGTGTTTTTTTTTTTTTTTTTACATAAACGATTAACCATTATCAATAGTTTGTCTTCTCTAAACATTTTCGGTCATATACGAATGCACGAGTGGCGAACCCAGGGGGGTGGACCCCGAGTCCGGACCCCCCCTATGGCTTTATTTTTTAAAGTTTCTGTGAAATGTTTCGAACCTTATTGATTAGATTGATTATTACTTATTAGTAGGGTTGTAAAATTTCATGAAATATTTCATAAAAATTTCATGAAATATATAATTTGAGAGAAAAATAAAAATTTTGTTTCATTTCAATAAAAATATATGTTTTATGTTTTATTTTTAATGGAATACTTTTTGTATTATTAATTGTACAAAATAGAATTAAAAACTAATTTATATAAATTAACAATTAACACCATATTAGTTTATAGTTATTATATTTTTATAAATATTGATTTAAGAGGTAAGAGACCAATAGTCATTGAAACACCTGAAGAAATTTTACTAAATATAGATGAATTTATAAATAATTTGCCAGTAGTCCCATTAATCATCAGGTATCACATTATTTCAGAAGTTTCTCATCAAATAAATGTATCGGTACCTAGTGAGTTTAAAAGTTAAGCACATATTTATAAAATTTATAGTGAATATTGTGAAACACACAATATTATACCAGCATCTGGAAATGTTTTTAAAGAAAGATGAAAATTACAATTCAATATTGGAACTCAATATTGAATTGTATTTATATACAAATAATAAATATAATAATTATATATATATATATATATATACACCATAGGGCAATATAGGGCAGTGCCCCGGGGCCCTGGAGCACAGAAGGCCTTAGACAATTCTGAGACTATACTTCCTTCAAATATTTGAAAATGTTGATAAATATAATTCCTAAATTATGCGAGGTGTTTGATGAAAAACTTTCAGGGAAAATAGTGTATATAATGTATTAAAGAACATGAAAATAGTAACAGTAAATGTTGAATATTGTGAGAATATTAACTATGGAATATTTAAAACAGTAATTATTGAATATTAAAATTAAATAGTACGTATCAATCATTTACTCAAAATCAATTGTAGTTACGATCGGTATTTAAGTATAATAATAATTCATGCAATATGCAATATGTTTTAATAGTATTAAACTGAATTCCCTTTTTACTTTGTACAATTAATAATTATCCGTTAATTATTTTCGTTTATCGTTTCATAGTAAGTATTCACATTTGAAAAAACAATATGACCAGTATATTTTGTATTTTCATATTAAGATAATATTAGAGAGGGGCCCAATTATTTTTACTGCACCGGAGTCCTTTCCTACCTAGCTACGCCACTGCGTACAGGTGACGCACTGGGAATAATAGGATGAACTCAGGGGTTGGGTGTAGTAAATTGTAGTCTTGATTTTTTTGTAATGTATGAATTGAATTATTTCATAAAAAACATTGAAAAATATTTTAAGTCCAAAAATAATGTCAAAATTATTATTATGTTATTATTATTTTAAAAACGGTATGCTTACCGTGTAGTATTTTTTTTTTAATAATTAAACGCACGTATGATGTTAATTCCAGTTTGATTTATTGTTAGAACAAAATTTTGAAATATTTGCATATTTTGCAAGTTATTCATTTTAATTATTTTATATTTAATAATTCATAATATACAAATGTTTACAACACGTTATCTGTTAACAGTTTTAACTAATTAAGTGATAACTAAAATTAAATATGGAGGGGATATTATTGGTATTTATTATTTTGAACCGCTAATTGTCTATTGTATTATTATTTTCTCATATTTATTAATTCTTAATTAAATCTTAATTGTACATACCTATTACTTGACACGGCCTAAAGTCGGTATGGATTTTTTTCCCTCGGTGAGGTGGCCGGTCAAGTTTGAGTGATGGTGTTGTGGTGAATTTAGAAATAAAGTAAAATGAACACAATATGATGGACTATTTGATAAATATAATGCGCACGAAAAAACAACCACAAAACAAAATATAAAGTCTATATAAAATAGGTGGCTTGGCGACGGTGCTAACAAAGTGCAAGAAAACGTACGAGGACTTATGCTTCGACAACGGTCACAAGCCAAAAGGTTGGTCACTTGAGGCGATCGGTCGGTACGTTGCCACCGGTTCCGATAACTTTTCCCACCTCTGCCCGGTTTTCCGAGGTAGGTGGGTAATATCGGAAACGGTGCTGCGTTGCCTGGGTTGCGGCTGGGTAGAGAGCGGGCGCGGCTCCGCGATAGTGGTGTACTTACTGTACCCGCACCACAGCGGGACCACGTCATACTGTTGTTAAAATATAGTTAGATCTAAGCTCATAAAACATTGTTAAATTCTAATTTATCAATTCTTACTGATTTTGTAATTTTTTTTTTTTATGTCAACCTTTTTCAAAATGTCAAATTTATATTCTTTTAGCCGTAAGTCAAATGACCTATTGGCAGGAAAACTTTAAAAATAAAAAAAAAATAAATAAAAAGAAAAAAAGATTACTACAACCATTTCAAATCGTATCGGAATTGAACATTTGTAGTAATCTAAGGTGTAATGTAGAAACAACCTACAAATAATAATTTGTATTTATTACTGTTTATATACAAATAATATAACTATAATATATTTTATACCCTCCTCTAGAAATAACTCAAATATTCTTCGGATATTTACGTATGATACGTTAAGTTTTTTGATGAACATCTGGTTATTAGTTAGATTAAAGTAATTTTATTAAGTGATTAAAGGGTGAAAATGCATTCTGTGGTTATTTTTTCAGTTGTTCTTATTTTGTTCGGGGAAATATGGATTTTTAAATTAATTATGTGAGTATATGTTATATTTTCTTAAATGTTATAACCATTGGGAAAAAAAGGGATTGTCTTTGATATTATTGTACTATGAGACCCATTTTTTATTCCGTAGATCTACAAGTGCTTTCAGAAGCGCAACACTACGACGGGGAAATATCCCTTTTGCGTCATTCGAAATTCTATCCGTCAGTTTTCCGAGTGTTTTTTTCAAGCTATACACCTGGAACAGTAACATCTCTAAAAGCTTGCTGCAAAAGTTCAAAAGTTTCACTCGAACTTTTTCCTAATTTAAAACAAAATTTTACGCGCACACTTTGTTCTTCTATTCCTTCCATTACGGAATTCGCCACACGACTGAAGCATGTTTTTGTAAAAATAACATAAAATAAATATAAATATTGTTATCGATTTCAAACCAACACTCAAATCCTCGTTAGAAGTTACATTATCGAATGACATTATCGGAATTTTGTTATCTTAACTGATATAAATATTATTAACGCAGTCCGGGTATTTTTTGATCAAACCTCGTATAATGTTACTTCTCAATATAATCTAAAATCTAAATTCTAAATAAATAATTTAATTGTATTTTGCTGTATTTAGTATTTTAATCATTAAAGTTCAGTGCATTGCGAATGTTGCCGCTTATCGCCATGTTTTGTGTACCCTTCTTTTTTAAAGATATTTTAAAAGGGGTTCCGCATGAAAAAAATATTATTGCCTGGTGTTCCGTGATATCAAAAACGTTAAGAAACACTGCTGTAGTGAGCCAGTCTGATCAGAACTGACTCAATACGTTTTATGACGAAGTCACCTCTTGATGCAGTTAATTACACGTCCGTTGGAGTAAAATAAAAAAAATACTGTTTAAGTTATAAATGTGACATTGACACTACATCCCTATTTATACGCAGACAGTTGGGCGTAGTGCGTAAAAGTAGTTTAGAACAAGGAAAAGGCTCAAGGCTTTTCGTTGTTCTTTACAAACAAAAATAATATTAATCTTTTAAAAACTTATATGAAAAAAACTATCCCCGTTTAACTTGTTAGTTAATATAACAAAAATAATATTAATATTCTTACTATTTAATGTACCCGTTTAATATATTAACTAATAACTCGTTTCCAAATATGAAAGTATTTTAATAGATAGTTGTTTTTGACAACGCCCAAGGAAAATAGGTTAAGGAAAAGATTACAAATTAGTTTAAGATATGTAGTAGTAACCTCGGTTACTACAATACAAACGCATACGTTTGATATTAATTCGTGACCTATAAAATAGAATTATTCAAATGTGATCCGTTCAATTACTTGTTCTATTTTGCTCCCGGCCACTTTTAACAGGTCACATACATTTTTAAGCGTTTTATTTGACAGCTTATCCGGTACGATTTTTAAAAACTCTTCTAGAATATGGGCTGATAAAACGTTTTCGTTGATTAATTTGCCGATAAATCTGAATTTATAATGTATAAATAATTATTAATTTATCTTGCTAATAAATATATAAATCATAAGGCAGTGCACAACAATTATTACGTGTACGACTGTTCGGACGTGAAATCGTTTTCACTTGGTCCGTTCTGAACCTCGGACAGCAATAGCTTTGTACACCTCATCCCGATCTGTTTCTTCGATGAGGTAGGTTTGATGTGCCACCCTTCTATCACACCACTTGTCGATACATCCCGCAACGAAGAGCACACGCTTACCAATTGTGGAATAGTTTTGGGATACATTTTTACCTGTAACATATAAAATCGTATAATGTCCAATGTACAGTTGATTTAAAAATTGTAATTCAAAATAATAATAACAATACCCTTTCGAACAGAAAGTCGATGGCTCTTTCCATCACATCGATATTCTTTAAATGTACCAATAACTCATTTATTAAGGTGCTTTTATTGTCTGCAGTTATGGAATTAATTATCGTTTTAACAGTATTGTAAACATCTAACTTCTCGTCCGGTTTGCATTCGGTTTGTGTATTATTCTAGAAGACACCATACAAATAATTTAGTAATTTTGTTTCTACTGTTGAAAAATTGTATGCGTAGAGTTGAATACCTCCGGACACACGCTTTTTTGGGCCACAGACAGATCTGATGACGGCACTTGATGCGTTCAACAGACGCCTCTACAAATAAAGTCACTACTTTCGTCTCGTCCATCAACTGTGGCTCATCACAGGTAGATTCGGGATTGATCAACTCAAGCGTGCCTAGGATCATTGACCATAAGCCCGGGGAGAATTTCACATTTTGCGCAGTCGAGTACTCCTGCAGCTTCTCCAACACGCCACTCTATGATTGTATCGTTAACGTATGAGAAATATAAACGTTTTCAACATATAATATTGGGCTAGTATATTTTTGTTTTGAATACAATTTAAAATTCATGATTTTACGGTCTGACGAATCTTACATGATTTACTGTACTCCCGGCGTGTTGCGGTATGACACATACGCATTCAACAGATAATTCTTTTGGACTACCTATTAGTCTCACCGAACACATTTCTAATATTGATGGTACCAAAATGTTCACTTTAAGAAGTTCGCAGATGAATCTGGAAGTAATACGACTACAATTTTTATAACTATTCGAGAAATTATCAGATGTAGTAAGTAGTTAGTTACCTGCAAATTGCCACTGAAAGTTGTTTATGAACTGTTTCATTTTTATCAGACTTCAATTGAAGTTTGTGTTTAGTTTCCTGTAACGATACATATACATTTTAATGAAACTAACCGCATAATATAATAAATCAAAGAGAAAATATTGTTGTTTATTGAATTTCTAATGGTATTCATACTTTATTTTTGCAAGACTCAATTTCTTTCCGCTCATTGACCGCAATACGTTTTCGGTCGAACATAGATTCGAACGTGTCTTTGCACTTGTTTATCAAAAGTTTCGTAAACGAAGTGTTTAGTTTTTTGTAGTCTCCCGACTGAATTTCCTTGTTCTTCATTGCCAAACAAACATGTGTGTATTCTTGAGTCTATGACGGGTCACCTAAAGCCTAACTATTATGCAACATAATCAACTTCGTAATATCTTAGTGAAGCTTGAGGAACGCAAAGCAGCCGGGGAATCCAACTTAGTGATAAAATTTGTCAAAGGTGTTCCAACCATTTCAAAAAACTAACAAACGGGCCAATTCACAATAACTTATTTCTTTACTATCAAAATGGTCGTGGACTCAATACCAAATTAAACGTTTTAATGCGTAATGTATATTTATCTGACGACTATGATTTTATCGGCTTATCTGAAACTTGGTTATCTCCAAATATCAATACGTCTGAACTAGGTTTATCTGGTTATAGTACTTACCGTTGCGACCGTAATCAGATTACTAGCAACCGTTCTAGAGGTGGGGGTGTTCTCCTCTCAATTAATAATAAATTTCATTCTCGTTTATTACCTGTACCTACCAGCCCAGTTGAACACGTATTTGTCATTATTAAAATAAACAATAATTATATTATAATAGGTAATGTTTATTTTCCGCCTCACACTGATATCGTAATTTACAATGCACACTTTGATATCATTAATAATTTACTTTTAAGTTTTCCGTATGTAAAAAACGTATTATTGGTTGCTGACTACAATTTACCTAAACTTCAATGGCACGCCACCTCTGTTGGATTTTTTCTAAATATGCTGAACTTAAATAATTTAGAATCAGAATTCTTATCAAAATTATCTTTCCTAAATCTTTCTCAATTTAATAATTTTCATAACAGCAATGGTTTATTATTAGACTTAGTTCTCTCTGATTTAAATAATTTAAATAAAAATTTACTTGTACGGATTCTTACTGAACCAAAAAATAGTACAATTTAGCAATTCAAACTTCTATTTGACTTGGACAAGGTTGAATTAATCTTTACTGTTGATGCACTCAGAGCAATTGCTTCACAAGCTTTAGAAAAAAAAACTGAAGCTTGGGGCCTACGACCAACTGTGATAATTATTTATAACTTAATCATCTTTAAATAATGACTATGTATACTAATGTTGGTTATGAAATAATGAACAACTATGATATTAATATCAAAATACATTTTCAAAACAATACAGTTTTTTATTTCTTAACTTAATTTATGTGGTTTCTAATTTATTTCACCGTACAAAATATATTTTAAATTGTTATAGGAATCAATTTTATTGGACCCTTTGTTTGAAATACCAGGATCAGATGTTAATAGTGTACATGTCACAGAAGATGCTGTCAATGTAAAAAAAGATTTAATTGTTTAAGAGGTCGTCCAATTGTTATTAAATAGACCAGAGCTAAAGTTGAATAAACTAAAAATATTTTTTTATTTTTGTTTTTTATTGAAATATTGTTTACAACTATTTTTTTCTGAAAAACTTTTCAGGACATCGTTTTATGAAATATTTATTTATATTTGTAAATTATCTGAGTTTGTTTATTTTTGAAAAACCTAATACTTATATTTAATAAATATTATGTTATGTACATTGTATAAGAAAAGTATATTATAATTTTTTTTTCATTTTTTCCATTCGAATCAGATGCACTCCCTGGTGTTTTTTCTTGTATTTAAATACATTCCATTGAATAAGTACTCATTCTATAACTAATGTTTTCCAACCTTTTAATGATACTGTCAAATATGGTAACATTAGCCCTTAATGACAACATTGGCTCATAAGTTGGAAAAAGTTTAATTATGAGATAACAGCTGAACTATTTAACGTAATTTCTTTAAAACTGTATCAAATTGCAGGTAAGAGTTGTAGTCTCGATATGTAACCGAATTTGTTACATTAATTAGTTGATTACAAAAATTTATTTATTTATTTAATTATTTTATATTATATTGATCATAAATTTTTAAATTGTATTATTAAACAAGAAAAAAGAAAATTGAGGTATAAATTCGTTTTAAATTTTTTTTATTTTTTATAACTATCTCGGGGATTTTAAACGTGACAAGAGCCGCTAATTGGGCGCCACTTTGTAATGATTTAAAAATTAAAGTATTAATATGTTAATTTAGGAGTGAAGTATTTATCTGTTTTTTTAAATCATTACTTATTATATTATAAATATTTAATATTACCTCTCCGATGATTGTGTCGACCTGCCTGTTGAAAACCGTAGTTGACGTTTGAGGAATGAGATAAGGTAACCAATTCGTACTTTAAAATATTACTAACATTTTCTTTTACTCACTTTTAATAATTTTATTTAAACTTCTTTTTACATACATTAATACATGTATTTTTACAGAACGTTTTACAACTAATTATATCTTTCTGCATAGACGATTTGCGTAGTCTTTTACACTCGCCTTTGACCGTCTATACAAGAGGACAGCAAGAACTCGTCTCCCCTAACTAAAAATCTATATTCCTTATATATGATGTTGTGTGTACGTGTGTGTGTGTAATATCTTATCTTTCATACTTACGACTTATTATTATATTTAATGGCTATCGAATATTATAATTATTTAATTACACATTCTTTTTTAAAAATTATATGAATGCTTAGGTGCATATAATTACAATATATGCAATGATATAAATTTAAATCTTAATAAGAATCAAGTATCTCATGTGCATGTATCTTTAAACTGGGTTAAATGTAACATTGTTCCATCTGGAAATAGTATATCCAAACTTCAAGCTAGTTTGAGGAAAAAGATCTCCAAGCACAAATGTAGTCAATTACATATCAGTGCAGAGAACATTTATACGCAATAAGCTAGAAATTATGGATAAACAAATTATAAAAAATAATAAATTAGAAGATGAAAGTACAGAAAAAATATTTAGATCAGCTTACTTCATTGCCAAAAATCAACGTCCATTTCTAGATATGCCTAAATTAATAGACCTACAAGCTCTCAATGAAATGAATTTAGGTCGTGTTTTACAAACCAATAAATTGGTTGTTGACCATATTGCTAATGAAATGAGGATTCAAATTTCCAAGGATATTATTGAAAACAACAGAAAATTATGTATTGTAGTCGATGAGTCAACTACATTTTGTATACAGTAAGTATAAAAGTCATTTAGAAGAAGAAAAACGTACAGCAGAAAAAAAAGAAATCAATTATTAAAAGAAAAAACTTGATAAATCACAAAAAGATATTAAGATATTAGAAGATAAATACAAAGAAACCAAGAAAAATGAAGTTTTTCAGAAGAATGTTGCTGAAAAAATGATCGAAGAAGCTAGTTTTAGATTAAACAATGCTGTAAAGAAATAAGAGTTCAATGAAATACAGATAGCACAGGCAATGTTAGAAGGGGCCCAAACTCTCCACAAGGAATACAAGCTCAAAGAAGAAGCTTCTGCACTAATTCAAAAAAAAAAAATTGAAAAAAGGAAAAGTAATCTTATTTCCTCGTTCATCGAAAAAAAATAACGCAAAGATTAAAATGTAACGACCATTCTAAGCTGTCTTATAATAATAAACCATATTAAGTTTTTAGTTTCCAGATTATTTTTATTTTCAATTAATCAAATGTTTGTTATATTATTATAATAATCATGTTATTATGTACATATGTTTAATTGGTATTACTATTTACTATTTATTTTACTGTTATTATAAAAAAAAGTATTTTCTTCATATTATGGATGGTATTTTTTATTATATCTTTTTTACTAAGATATAACTCACTTTAACCTATTATTTTGAAAATAAAACTTACTATTTTCACTATTTTTAAATACAGTAGCTGCTAGAAACCCTACCGTCCTGTTGAAAAATAATATTTTCTCTTAAAGCTAAAGGAATATCATAGAGCATCATCGGTAATTCATTTAATAAAAAATTACAACATCGTCAACCATTCAGAATTTCATCATGAAGAAATTTTGATCACCGAGGTAAATTTTACCAAAGCATAACATTTTTGGTCGATAGGATGATCAAAGATAGTCGCAATTTTATTTAAGGCAGTTTTAAACATTGTCAATCAGTGTTGGGAATATATAATCCAAAATCATTGATTTTAGAATATACAGATAAGCGGTGATATAGGAAGATTCGGCAACTACAATTTTGTTCACAACAGAGGTCGTATTTACCCGGCGGAGCACGATTGCGCGCGTTTTACCTTTTTAGGTATACGATTGCGCGCAGTGCCAGAATAACAAAAGACAACATTTTAATTACTCAAAGGCGTACGATTGCGCGTGAAATTGGGTGCGACGTTGCCAAATGTATTACGTAAATAATAAAAATACAAAAAGTTAATAATATCAAAAAAAAAAAAAAATAATACAAAATAAAGAAATTTAATAATTGAAAAAATATAATATTATAAAATTAAATTTTAAATCCCCGATACCTATTTCCAACTATGGCCAAATACTTTAGTAAATTTTCTGATGTTTTATTGTTTACATAATGTTTGTGTTCATTTTTCAAATTTTCAATTTTCCTTGATTCTTCATTCGATTTTGGTTTTATTATACCTTTGAAAATGGTTAATAATTTGTTAACTGTTTCTGTCTGAGTTTCCATAAGGGTAGCTATAACGACAAATATTGGTGGATGAGCACTATTAAACTGTGCATTATATGTACTATGGAAACTTTCAGCCCCGTTTGTAGTCTTAAAAATAAATAATATAATATTATAGTTAACACATTTTTTTTAAAACTATTATTAGTAAATATTTACCTAGTTTGTCTGATATCGGCAAAAATAAGTAATAAATAATCTACTATGGTATCGTACGGATTTATCATGGACCTATATATTTGGCAACGTTGCTTAAAAGTTAAAATAATATAGCGCGCGCAATCGTACGCTTAAAAAGGTACCGCTGATAAGGACCGCGCGCAATCGTATCGCGCCCTATATACCGTGAACATTTATTTTTTCTATTGAACCTTTTCTATTGTTGATACTTAATATATATATTATAATTGCGCCACGCGCCGTGCCGCCGTGCTGGTACCAAATCTTATCTACATTCTACCATAGATTTTAGAATATACATATATTTATAGTCTAAAATCAATGATTCTACAACCGGTTATTACTTTATTTCCTTTAAAACCTATCCTGATTTAATCTATTTGTATATAGGAACTGTATATTATTATTGTTTTTCGATTCATCGTCAAAAAAACTGAACACTCCGTTTATAGTTTGAGTGAATCCACTAAAGCAGGGTGGGCGAGTTATTTTGCCTTTAATATTAATTTTGTAAAGATCATTGTAAAAGTTTTTTGAATTTTCTAGAAATGGTTTAAATACACCTGAATTGGTTAATGCACAATTATATGGATTGTCATTGAATAAATTTCTACTGTTTAGACAGTCAAATAGATTATTCATAAAATCTATAAAATCTGCTGTATCGGGTACAGTTTTACTTTTTAATTCGGCTGTAGATATACATGTTCGTAAAGCAGATGCCATTGAGTGGCTAAAAATTTGAGTTATTATGAGTTAAAACAGAGTTTCCTCTGTTATTTTAAGTAGAGCGCTATTTTTTTTGTCAATGTTATAAGTTGCTATGACATCGTTAAAAGATATTATTTTTTCATTTTTTTTAAATGTATTTCCTATTAAATTATTTCTTACACTTTTCAGGAGATGAGGCGTGTCAAATAAAGAAATAATTATATTTTCATTTACATAAAAATAAGGCTTATTTTCCGTGACATTTAACGACTTCAGGGCACTTTGGTTATTTGAACCTTGATCACAAATAATAACTTTGGGTAAAATACTAATATTAAAAAGTTCTTGCAATACATCGATAGTAAGGTTTTTTAGAACTGCATGTTTGACGGTAGAATGAGCAAGAAAATAAGTAACAGGGATTTACCAGGGTGAATATATACCTCTTGCCATGAAGACTAAACAGCTATTCGCAGCATTACATGTTCTTCCATATCTACCCAGATCTTCATAATCTTCTATAAAATCGAAATATTTAGAATATTCTAAAAATTCTTTAATTTAAATTTCATTAAAAGAAATACTACAATCCTTTTCTTTGTACTCCTTTGTCGCGTCTCACGTAGTCACATAATAGAAAACACACATTATAAGAGGTTCTCATGAATATCGAAACCAGACGCGTGAACAGTGGCGGCGCGAACTATTTTAATCCGTGGGACACATTATTTTTTTCAAACCACCTACCCCTG